AAGTGAAAATGTGTCAATCCTCGAAACAGGTATATACAGTTAAATAGAATGTGTACGATTGCTGTACAGAACATATATAGTGAGACAAGTGTCACCATTTGGTCGACATATTGGTATTTTAAAACAAATTTATGTTCGACTTGGAAGTTAACTACATTTTACATTTGTAGGTGTAGCCATACCACGGTTATATAGATCAGATGATATTGGTAATGGTACTCTGCAGTTATTTGTGAGAGGAAAATGGGTTGATGTTGTCGATATCGGTCAATGGGATGCAAATGATGCTATGGTTACTTGTAGACACCTTGGATTCCCCAATGCTGTGTCGGGTATGTTGGATGTATTTTCAATACGAGCAGTTATTTTATTGTACACTTATACAATGACATGTTGATTTTATATATGTTGTTGGCAGTTGAGATGCGCAAATTGAGTGAATACGCAATAATAAGCGAAAACTTGCCTGACGATTATTTTGTTGTGACGGTTTTTATATCAGTAATACGAGGATTTGATTGAATAACGATTACGCATATAGTTCAACACTAACTTCTAATATAAATCACGACATGCGAGGTTATTATGACGTAATAGCTATTCATTATACACTAATGTAGACTTCTAATCACTTAATTGGTCCGAAAACTAGGACAATACAGCCTGGATGGAAAAATGAATGTCTGTGTGGGTTTGAAGTTCAGGGACATTTCAATCCCAGGTGCTCGTTGAGTTCAATCACTGATTATGTGTCAGTATTTTTTTTTTGCAAATAGCGTTTTTCAAACTTCTATGTTTTTGTAGATGAAAACTTAAACTGTGTAGTTAATACTAGATATTACTAGATATACTTAAATATTACTATACGTACATTACTATGTCCATCATAATAATTTAATAATTTAAATTTAAGAAGTATCAAAATATCGTCAGAAAAGTAACATATTTGATGAACATTTATTTCACGTGCCGCAGCAATGCATTTGTTTACATAATGAAATTGGCAGAGATATGTCGTATTTGACCACCTTTTTACGTGCAACTTAATTTACACAAACTTATGCACACTAATGATTATCCTTAGGTAATTACAGATAAAGATGTATGTTCTTCTGAAGCCTGCCCTCAGAACGTGTTCGATGGGACACTTGACAAAAGAGCTAATGAGTTTGTGCTCACACGAACCTCATGCGCTCTTATTTGGTGTCTCAATCGACTTTGTGCTGAGGGTGCTAACCGGTCGCAAACCTAAAACACTATCCATGTAAACCACCTAGAAATGTAAGTTGATCTTTTCTGCTTACTCGGGCCATAACACATAAACTTGTGCATGTTGCCCTGCCTGGACTCCTTAGTATGTCTCTCATATCAACTCAAAGCTCTAACTTGGCATAGAAGCAACTCATCCTGATCCTATTTTACCACAGCTTGATTGTCCATAAAGGTGGCACAACCGTCCGATAGAGACAGACCCCCTAACCAAAAATGTCACCTACCAGAGGTGAGAGCTAGTATGCAGACTATGTCAAATATTTCAGTGGTGCTGATTCCAGCGGTTCAGCGGGTGGTCTTCTTAGAGCTGACAACATAAACAACCAGTCTAAAATTGTAGGTTCCCTAGATTGGGATTTAGGCCTTCGATTATGAAAAGCAAATAATTGGCCCAAAGATTTCTTAGTGGCAGATGACAAGGCTATAACTAACAGTTGCTATGTAGGATAAACCTAACTCCTCATCTACCTGGCCAACAGTAGGGTGGCATGGATCAATCTCTCTTCCACTACACCAAGCAACACATGCCCGTCACTGGGAGTCATAGGCTGCATTGGTAGAACCCCTATTCACCCAAGGCAGAACGTTGGCAGACTGGTCAAACCTTTCATCACATCTCTACGATTAGGGTAGTAGATCCGGAATGTATCAAGGCACTACCGGTGTCTTGACTAACATTTCCAACAATAGTGGAAACCAGGCCTTGGTTGGACCGTTGGGCGCCACCAGCATCAAGTTTTCTCTAGTACCAAGAAAATTAGTGGGAATCCAAGCAGGACCCAAAGTCCTTGGAATTGTTTGTCCATTATGTACCTCTCCAAATTGTGAAGGAGATATTTGATACCAGAGTCGCAACCATGGCGAGTGGTCCCCCGCCTGAGGTTGGCAATTGAGAGGAACTTGCCTATCCAGGTCCCATAGGTCAGACTGGCTTGAGGAACTAACCTGCGAACTGACCTCATCTCAATGATGCTCGTCAGATCTTGGAGAGACACAAATAGAACGCTGGCTAGACGTTTATTGCTATGCAACAAGCCTGCAATGGGCACACAAAACATGCTCCATGCTCACCAACTGACGTATCGGGTTTAGATGGGACTTTTAGATTTACTAGAAAGCCTAATTGGTGTGATAAATCCCGTGTTAGCTCCACCTGCTCGCCCAACACCCCTTTGTTTTGGTTGTGTACCAACAGGTCTTCTAGGTACGGGTTGATGTATACCGACAACTGATGCCGCAGCAGCCCACCTGCTTCAACAGCACCCCAAATTTGGCCAATATGGGTGAGTCAAAGACTCACGAGGTGCTTCGGTATGTGCCGATAAGTATCGCTCAAATCTAGCATGAATAACCAACCAAACAGTGCACGGTGAGTAAAACAGTGCTTGACGTCTCCATTTGGAACCGATGGAGATTAACATACTGATTTTTGCTTGCTTAGATCCAAAACTGGAGGCAGTTCACCTGTAGCTTTTGGAACTACGAACATGTGCGAGTAGAAGCCTGGACTTACTGCCAGGTCTCTACCCTGTGTATGGCACCCATTGTATACCTCCTGTACGAATTGCTTCCATTAGAGGGATTTCCCCAACGGACCCACCACTTTGGCGCGCCATCACTTTTTTCTCCCCCAAGAGTGTAAGGGCGCTTGCCTACTGGCTGCTTCTACATTCTACATTCCAGTGTGCTAGGCCTAAAAATCAATGGGTCACAACTCTGCTCTCAGGGCGTGGTGACTAAGATGGTGATAAACTCCACGGAATGCAGCCACCCCCTTTTACCCGTCCTATGCAAACCATGCTCATGGTACCTGGGTTAGGTGAATGAACATCATGTACTAGAACCGATGAGCTCCATATCCCCTACAATTGTTTCGAAGAATGGACTCCGAGGGGCCGTCCTTGGCCTCAAGGTCAGACAACGTCAAACCTCCCTTTTACTTATAAGTGTCAGGTCAAACGCCTGGTGGTCGGGTCAGTTCCCTGAGGGAACAAATTCGATTTAAGGGGGAGAGATTCATAGTGGAGACAGTATTTTTGGAAAAATACTGGCTCCATTGACGACCCCTGGCTGGTAAGAAGTGGGGGAGGGACAAATCAACTCCCTACACTGCTTGGCCGCCTTCCATAACGGAGGTCGTCATTGTGAATTGTTTTTAATATATTATGAAATGAAAACGGAAAGGATTCATCATACCTCCTGTGAGAAAAAATATATACCTATAAGTAAAGCGATCGTCACAGCACGTTTGACAACTGTGATAAAAATGAAAACCATGCTCTGTTGCATATTGGCAAAATGGACGTTATTGTAAACCATATCACAATTTGTGTTTAAAACACTAATGGTCTTTCATATATTTTTAAGCTTCAGCTAGGAGTACAATGTTGTAATTTATCTCGACTTTGTTTATGCTTTTTGTTAATGGTGTAGCAAAAAAATTAAAACGACTATTTATGTTGTGCGTAAGAAGTTAAAATGTTATTGTTTGCAACTAGTGTTAGAGAGGATATGATAAATTAAGTTCTTATTCCTTTGATAAATATGCCTGCATATAACAATGTAGGATTGTCCATAGATGGACACACAATGTAGTATTTATCAATTGTTAACAGCTATTGTTTTAACATTTCCATGATCTACCAGTTAGGTCTGAGAGAATTATTCATAATATAGGAGATCGTTTTTCTGTGATTTCTTCCTTTTTACCTCTGAGCCAAATATGTCATAACTAGCAGTCAACAAATCATTTGCTAAAGTTTTCTTTTTTATCGGTGAAGCAACGTTCAAAGAAAACAAGCAACTATATCTTCCAATAAAAATGCATTTGTTTTATGTTGCTGTTATTATATAACATATACAATTTCGTCTAATAATTTAGAAATACGTTATATTATGGCTGCATTATAATTAACCCTAAATAGGTATGTGGTACATTATATGATTTGTTCAAGCTTGTATTATATTTATACATAAATGAATGAATACAATATATTTACTATACGTCAAATTCCCATGCCAGTCTGTTGTAATTGTTTGTGTTGCTTATTTGTTGTAGCTTGGACTTTGGAGATGCATGTACCAGTCACCGCACCTGGGACTGTAGTGAATTGCCAAGGCAGTGAACTGTCTCTTAGCGAATGTGAAATAACTATAAAGTGGATGACGTATACTAACTATACCGGAGTGACATGTGACATCGGTAAAATGAACATTTCTTTGCATTTTATACTGGTACATTATCAGATTGTACCATATCACAACATGAACATATA